AATACAGACAGAGAATTGTACAAAAAGTTCCTAAAAATATCAAGAAAACTCCATAAAATATGATATCACTGAGTCAGGGGTCGTCTATTTACTCAATTATAGAAAAGGGAACCACTGCTGTAAATAATAAATTGCTGTATTTGTCACTGAGAGAGAAGTGGAGCCAGTGATGTTCGGCTGTCAGGAGCTTTTTATTTAACCAAATGAGAAAATGTGACTGAAGTCAACAGAACTGAGCATTAAAGCGACTGAGCTACTCTCGTCTGTGGACATTTACCTCCCTGTAATTCATCTTAAAACTATAAAAACTGATCACATTGGACATTTTAAATCACACAAACTCAGTTTTGTAAGTTAAAAACATTCCTGATGAAGTCGTTTTTAGGTTTTTTAAGTGTCACTTAAAATCACTAAAGCTACTTGATAAAGGATGTTTTTTTCAGCTGTCAATCATTGACATGAAACCCTCTTTTTATATCTTAAAATAACTAATTAAAACCAAACTGATCAGTAAAATTGAACAGCTGAACAAACATCAGCGCAATGAGAATCTAAAGTGACAGAAATCATCTTTTGGAAACAGATTTTTTTTTGTTTATTTGATCTGTTAACATGATGACATCAGGCTGATACTGCCGTTCGCCACCAGAGGGCGTCCATCCTCCATATTTTATATGTTCTTTATCAGGAATAACCCTCTTACAGCGTACAATTAAACCAAATATGATGAAAACAAAACAAACACACAGTGAACAATGATCATTCATTCATTCATAGAGTGTAATGTGAGTGAAAGGTAGTTATAAAGGTGTTATTATGACATTAACAACGTACAGTTATAAACAGGTGATAAGATGATATAGAGACAATATTTAGGAAGGGAGGAAGCTTTCTTATCTTTAAACATTAATTCAACATGTCAACCAGTTTGGCGTCCGTGTTTCAGCTCAGAGGTGTAAGAAAATATCATTAAAAAATATAAATTATATATAATATTGTCATCATCACTCAAAGATAAAGCAGAAAAATACTCTTCGTGCTAAAGATACTTAAAGAAATAAAGCATTTATTGAGTTTAAAGGTATATTGTTGACAAAACACAACAATATTTAGCAAAAAGCATCAGGTTTCTATCAAAGAAATTATAGATAATCAGTGGCTTTATTTTATTATTATGGAAAGAAAGATCATTTATAGCATAATTCATTCAATATAAATGGAGAAAATAACATTCATATAACTTGTTTTTTTTTGGTCAACAAAAGCAAACATTACATGACAAAGATGAAGATAATAAAGCAAATATATAACAGATTCCACAGCTTTAACAACTAATTTACCATCAAATCAACTCAAACAACAAACAAATAAACAGATAAACTCGAAATCAAGAAGTCAAATAAATCAAAATTACACCAGACAGATTTAATTCTGTGTCGACTGATGTTTTATTTGTTTTATTCTGTTTTTTTCCCTTTAAATGTCTACATGCAGACATTTAAAGCTGCAACCACAAAAGGCTTATAAATACAAAAAAACTAAAAATACAAACAAAAATACATAAAATAAGAATATTTATTCCACAGAACCAGGCATATTTAGCTCATCACAGTATTAAACTTGTAACATGCTCATACCTTCATTCTCTAAAAGGAATAATAATAATAATAATACTTTTAAGGAATATCCTGTTACTTTTTTACCAAAGCTGATACATTTAGCATCCTGTCAGTGAGTAGAAATAATATAAAATAAAACTGTCTTTAGTGGCTTTTACTGAATTATAACCTCACCAGTCTCACAGTCTCAATGCAGCTGCAGACGATTGCACCATCTAGTGGCGAGTAAGGCAGAATAAAGGCAAAATGCAACACAAAAAAGCATAATTCTGGATACATTGAACCTTAAACCGAGAGACACTTTTTAGTTTACTTTGTGGCGTTTATTTTGAAGCTGGTGACGCGTCTGGCAGCGTCTGCGACACACATCTCCACGGGCTGCCGCTCGCTGTCGTTGGAGGTGCTGATGAACCAGCCGGGGCACCGAACCGACTCAAAGGTGGTCAGAGACACTCCGGTGACTCTCTTGTAGAAGAGGAAACGGTCCTTGTTTTCATCATCGGAGATGTGTTCTAAAGTCTCCTTGGAGCATTCCTGCAGACGGAGAAAGTGTCTCATTAACTTCACATTAATCCATTTATGTGCGGAGACAGTCGTGATAATAATAAAACAAATGCTCTTGGAAAGTCAAAACTTTAAAAAGAACTAAATAAATAAAAATCATGAGAATAAAATGTCACATTCAAAAGAGAAACTACAAATAATGAGATTAAAAGTCAAAATTTTGAGATAAAAAGTCCAATTATGAGATAAAAAGTTAAATTATGAAATACAAGTTTAAGTTATGATATAACATTTTTTAATTCTGAGATAAAAAAGTAAAAATTACGAGATAAAAAGTAAAAATTATGAGATAAAAAGTCAATTTAGTGAAAATAATCCATACAGTACACTTTATAATATTACATATTTTGTATGCAAAATCTGAATGTGTAAAGTAATTAATAACAATAGCTGAAAGAGTGGCGGCATAAAGTCACATAAAATGGGGATATTATAGTAAAGTACCTCAGAATGATATAGTAATATTATATAATATATAATATATATTATATATATAATTTATATATACATATTCTTACCTCCAGGTTCAGCACAGCTTTGCCGTCTTTCATGAAGCAGGAAAGGTGCAAGTTGTGGTTGGTGATGGACAGAAGGACACACTGATATTTAGTATCAGCGGTGCTGATGTACCTTGACAGTTTAAAATTCACTGAAGTGGAAAAAAACAAATACAAGAAAATTAGCTACAAAATTATCAGCAACTATTCTGATAATTAATAATCGATTTGAGTCCTTTTGTGAAAGAAAAAACACTAAATTCTCTGTTTTCAGCTGCTTAAATGTGAATATTCTCTGGTAATGTTGCTCCTCTGTGACAGTAAACGGAATATTTTTCAGGTTGTGGACAAAAACAGACATTTGAGGATGTCAGCTTGAGCTTTAGAAAACATTTTATGACATTTTATGAACAAACAATTAATTGATTAATCAAAACAATGATGAATAGATAATGAAGAATATCTGATAGGTGTGTTTGTTTGTGTAGCTCAAACAGAGGATTAAACTGAGACTGTTTATAACCAGTAAAAAACTCCTTTAAGTGAAAGTACCGATACAACAATGTAATCCATTACATTCAGAATCCCATTTAAAGGTCCAGTGTGTGGGATTTAGTGACATCTAGTGGTTAAAGGGGCAGATTGCAACCAGATTTATTATAGCTGTGTATTTTAGTTTTTAATTTTAGTTTCAGTTTAGTTTTCTATTAGTTTCAGTGTTTAGTTAAAAGTCACATTCAGAGATAAAGAGTCCAAATTATGAGATAAAAAGTCAAATTATGAGATAAAAAGTCAAATTATGAGATAAAGAGTCAAAATTATGAGATAAAAAGACAGAATTAGAATTATTAGTATGAGATTATAAGTATTTTGTTTTTTTAAATCATAATATGGGGACATTTGTCAGCTATTACACTACAAACACACTGACTCACAGTCTAAATAAACCAACGCCTCTTCGTGCCTGTGTCTGACCAATCTGACTACTAGTTCAGTATCAGTATATTTAGTATCACCATCAGTCTCATAATTTGAGCATCGTACCTGTGCGCTCACAGTTTCCTCCTTTCAGAGTGATGGCCTGCAGTTTGATCTCCCCCGACCCATGGACGATGGCTTTCTGATCAGTGTCGCACAGCGTGCACATGTTCTCGCTGTTCACACGCTGGAATGTTTTTCGCTCTGCTCCCAAGGAGAAGTTCTCAGTTGTATTCACAATCGTCTCTGTGGAAAAATCACAATTTTGTTAGAAGATTCGTTTTGTCTTTACTGTAACTTCCAAAACCCAGAAAACCTTCAAGCAGGAGTCTCTGTTGGTGTCAGTTAGCGTCTTTTAGCAACAAGTCCATCTGGAAACTCCCATAAAGGAGGTTGTGTCTGTGTCACTAAAAGTTGAAGA